GGGGGCTCCCTCCAAACCGTGGCTTCTGAGGGAAATCTGCTGGGTCTGTTGAATTCAAGGTAGAGCGATCAGCTCAGAAGATTGTGTTGACGGCTTTTGGGAGTAATTCCAAAAGATTCACCTTAATAGATTTTCTCGAAAGACAAGACATTCATGAGGGTTTCTTAAGAAATAACTTTCCGAAAACGGAAAACTGAATTGGTGAGAAATTTCTTTTTTTAACACCGTGACAAGGCACCTGCTCCAGCTTCAAGAGTAGGAGGGCTGTCCACAAGAATTTAATTAGGAAACCTCCCCCCACATCTTCCATCTCTGATCTTGTCCCCTTCGGACGTCTTTCTGTTTCTCCAAACTCCGAGCGCATTTCAAAGGAGCACGACCGGATGTGCCCCCGCCGTTGTTTAGACGCGGTGCGCACAGTCTTCAGCGACGGACAGGTGAGAGGGACGGACACGCCGCCTTCAGAAACGAGCGGACTGAGGCGGAGGACATAGCCTGAAACCGCAGCCGCACACTGTCATGTTTTCGTGTAACAAAGAGGTCTGCAGGCAGGAACTTTTTATCTACTGTCATAGGAAACCCAACCACGTGCCAGTACCTAGGTCCACCGCATGCAACAATAGCTTTGTGTTTTTATATTTTAAGAAACATTTCTATGTGCAATATTTATTTTTGTCTATCCACCCCAATGAAAACCCCAAACGATGCCAGGTCTTTTCTATAATCGTGTCCACCAAAGTTTGTCCAATTAAAACATGACATTTCATTCATGGGGGGAAATGCCCAGAAGTTGACCCCATGTAGTAAATTTACATTTGCACAATCGGTCCATCGCATGTCTTCCTGGCTAGGTCGAGCTACACGTTTGACAGCCTTGCCCCTTCAGATTTGCTCGTGACAGTGCTACTCTGCCTGACAGGGTCTCCGGGAGTCAGACTCGACCTGATGGCAGTGAGAGTTGGTGTTTCCCAGGGAGCTTCTGTAAACGGAAGCTACAGAGCGCCCAGTGATGTGATCTAAGCCCAGACATGAACATGACATTTGGCGGGAGGGGCGGAGTCAAAGGCAGCTGATATGAAGGCATTCAAAAAGACAATGTTTAGAAACTGATTGGGGTAGCCATTGTACAAAACTGCTTGATGTGATTGAACAGCGGAATGATAAGATTTCTGTATTTGCTCCCAATAAATGGGTTTTTTGTGGGGGTAGGGGTGTGAAGAAATGAGAAAGAAACCCAGTAGATTTAACATAGGTGTCACTAAAGAACAATGATGGAATTGTAAAGCACCTCGGGGCCTGGATGGATGTGGAGGGCATGAACCTGAGGGAAGGTAGGTAGCCATCACAAAATGACAAATATCGTATGAGACCATTGCTACAAAAGGGGCGGGAATCAAGATATAGGTTTTTATACCCAAAGAAGACAATTTTGGAGGCTACCAGAAGTGAGGGGGGCGGGCGGAGCTGGGGAAGCAATCGTCTAGGGGGTAGGCAGGTATTAACTGGGGTGTAGGAAGAAGAGCAAAAGGTGGTGGGTGGTGGGGGTGGTACAGAGCAAGCTATTGGGAGGTTTGACAGGGTGTTTTAAGTTGTTGGATACAAAAAAAGTGAGGGTCTGAAATACAACATTCCCACCCCACTACTCACCTAATTCACAATAAAAAGTTTTGAAAAATCCAAAGTGTTGAATGGTGCTGTATTCCATCCGATCAAAGACATTGGCCATTATATGACCTGTCCACACCGGAAGTGCTCACATGCCCAAGAAATCACAGGTGCATCTGAGAGCCCCTGAAACGTGACACAGAAGTGTCATTGTGACAGCTTCATCCGTGGCCAAAGTGGGTTTGTCAGGGAGAGCAGTGCGATGGGTTGGTGGCATGATCGCAGCGCTGAATGGGTATCAGTTGCTGACTATGAGAGCGGCACTAGGGCCATTGAATAAGCTGCGATGGTTACATTTATACCAATGGGTTGGGTCATGTAGCAAAAGGAGTCCAAGGGTGCCTCGCACCCACCCACCAGCTGCTCCCACCCACAAAGATGGTGCCCCGGCTCCTGTGAAGGTTACAGTCTCAGAAACCCCACGACCCCCTGTTGTGTTCTGCTCAGTGGGGTTTCCGTGAATCAGAGTCCACCGGACAACACACTATAACAAAGGACCTGCCAGGCGCATTCTGGAGATAAGGGGGAGGAGGTGGGGGCTCCACGCACTCCCTAGATATCTGCATACACGACACCACTTCCTACAGCGATGTACAGAGACCCAAATGCAGAGATGAGCGCCCGCGTCCCCCCCGCCCCCCGCAGCGACCACACTCACCTCTGGACCAGGGTCTGGGGTGTGGGTAGGGCAGCCATCGGGAACTCCTGCTTTCCTAAGATGGGTTGACCTTTGATAAAGAAAACGGGCCTGCTGACTAACTGGCAGGGAGTCAAGCAAAATAATAACAGTGGTGATGATAACTAAAAAGGACCCGGTGAAGGGCAGTTCCACTCTGAGGTCTGGGGACGGGTGGCCCTGCTCACCCCTGGTTTCCAGTGTCTGGCACCCAGCATGCATCCTCTGTGAGTGATGACACCAGTCCTCCCAGCTCACGGAAGCCGCAGAATGGGGCTTCCAAAGGCTTTCCCAGCGCGAGGCACCCCTCCCATCCCTCGCCTCACCCCCCCCCCAAGACTTGTACATTCCCCAGGGAAGGGAGCAGGGTGAGATGGGGTGGGGGACGTCCGTGTCAATGCCCTCCCCCTTCCCCCGGGATCCCTGCAGGAGCCCTCATCTCCGAAAGAACCTCGCTGATCCATCCTTTTCAACGACCCCGCCCCTCTTTTCTCACCATCCTGGAGAGAGGGCTGGTTGCTATGGAAACCAACACCTCTGATCTGGACCACCTGCGACGGGAAACACAGACCCTTGTTATTTGATTTCTTGGCTCACTGGCTCTCAGTCTCAGGAGAGAGAGAGAGAGAGAGAGAGAGAGAGAGAGAGAGAGAGAGAGAGAGAGAGAGAGAGAGAGAGAGAGAGAGAGACAGACAGAGAGAGACAGAGAGAATGCATGCAACATCCTTTGAAAGTGAACTAAGCACTTAGAGCAGGGGGCACTTGTGGACGCAAGAATGACTTGTCCTCGGATATTTTCTCTCATCCTTTTTGAGTTTGCATCAAATAATATTTGATAGCCGTTTAGCTCATCTTTTAGATCAATGTTTCTTAATGACTACTTTGTATGTTGTTTTATGTATTCTATATCCATTCAATGCGTGTGATTTTCTTTTAAAGAATGGAGGTGAAATGAGGATTTTTTGGGAAGAACAATTGGTCGACGATGTTGATGTGAGCTAGGTGTCCGCCCAAAGCTCAAGGTCGTATGACCCTGTGTTTGTTAGAAATCGCACTGTCGTGGTGATAGGTGCAGGGGAGCGGTGTGCTCATCTCTGTACCTTCCTGTAGGCTGAGCTCTTTCGTCTTCTTTTCCTTTATTGTCGTGCAAACAACCACAGCAAAACACACGCCCGCTCAGCCGCCTCCACCGGCATCATGCAATCCCATGGATTATGCTCTTGAAGAGGCTGCCTCTCCATCGCCTTTCCCAAACCTTTCCACGAGGCTGAACAAACACTTCCAAGCCCCTGAGCAAAGACGTCCCCTCCGCTGCCTCCCTTTCCCGAGAAAGGGAGCAGGACTTGAAGCACCTGCTGCTGAGACCAAAGACTGGAACTCTCAGTGGGATTGCTCTCAACATCAAGAACACAAGCCCCGCAACAGCACCAGTAAGACACAGCATGATGAACAAGGATAATAGTGGAGCTGTCGGGGATTTCCTTTGACCTGGATCCACAGTCAATGCGCATGGTAGCAGCGGTCAAGAAACCAAGTGACGTCTTGCACCGGGAAAATCTGCTGCAAAACACTTCTCTTAAGACCTTGAAGAGCATTGACATCACTTGGAGGACTAACGTGCACCTGACCCCTGCTACCGCCTCCGTCGTCACCTGATACACGGGAGAAAACCAGGCAACAAATCAGGATTATCAAGGAAGCACTACCGCCTTCGACTCGGGTCTTCACCAAGAACATTGGCTATCCGGAGAGCACAGAGGCATGCGCAAATGTGTCTTGGACGAAGCACAGCGCGAAGGCTCCTTGTGAGGACGGCTAGAGGTCGTCTTCTGTGCTTTGGACAGGTTATCAGCAGGGATCAGTCCCTGGAAAAGGGTATCGTGCTTGGCAAAGGAGAAGGTCCCCCCAAAAGAGGGAGA